CGTCCCCAATTCACGTTGTCCTCCTGAGATCTCAAATCCTAGGTACGTCACGTGGGTTTGAACCAATTGTGCCTTCTGTTGTGAAACCCGGTATCCATTCATTCCTAGGAAATTAAGGAGGCTCACCGTCCACTGTATGCAGCTTCCCCTGTCTTCGGTAGCAATCAAGAGATCATCAACATATTGCAGCAGGACCCCTGCAGAATTGGGGGCTTCCCAGGATTCAAGTTCCTTTGCAAGTTGATTACCAAAAATCGTAGGGCTATTTTTAAACCCCTGAGGAAGCACTGTCCATGTCAACTGGACTTTTCGTCCTGAGTCAGGATTTTCCCATTCAAAGGCAAAGAGGTTTCGGCTTTCTGGGGCCAAGGTTAAACAAAAGAAGGCATCCTTTAAATCCAGTACGGTAAACCAGACCAACTTGTCCCTTAACTTGGTCAATAGCGTATAAGGGTTTGCTGCCACAGGGTGTATGTCTTCAGTGATCCTGTTTATTGCTCTCAAGTCCTGTACTAACCTATAACTCTTCCCATCCGGTTTCTTAATTGGTAAGATGGGAGTATTATATTCTGATTCACACTCGACCAGTAACCCATATTTCAAAAACTTATCTATTGTATCTTTTATTCCTCTTCTATCTTCTATTCTAAGGGGGTACTGCTTAACCTTTACTGGCTTCTCTCCTGGTTTTAATTTTACCATTATTGGTGCAGCATTCTTTGCTTTCCCAGGGACATCAGATTCCCACACCCCTGGATAAACCTGATCCTGGATTTCCGGAAGGGTTTCATTAAAAGAATCAGTTTGGATCAATACCAAACTTAGTGCACTTATAAGTCGGTCTTCTTTTACTCTTAACTCTACCCTTCCCTTTTCAAAAACAATTTCAGCTTCTAATTGCTCTAATAAATCCCGTCCCAATAAAGATCTAGGAGATCCCGGCAAATACAAAAACCTATGTATTCCCATTTGCTTCCCCAATTCATATTCTAATGGCTTTAAAAAGAAAGCTTTTTCGTGTCTACCCGTTGCCCCCACCACTGTCACAAAACCTTTATCTTCTGGCATCAACTTCTGATTTAACACTGAATATGTAGCTCCTGTATCTACTAAAAATTCTACTTCCCGACCCAATTTCCCTGGCTTAATTTTAACCAGTGGATCTGCTAGGGTAGAGTCCCCCGGTCTCCTTCATTGTTTTGTAGCCATTAATAGCTTCTTTTCCTCTTGCCGCTTCGGGCATTCCCTTTTCCAGTGTCCTATCTCTTTACAATAGGCACACTGTTCAGCCCGCAAGGGGAGTCGAATTACCTTCCCCCCCCCTTCTCCTGCCTCGAAAAGATTCTTCCTGCTTTCGCAGGGCTGCCACAGTGGCTGCTGCAATCGTCTCACCTAACTTTTGCCTTTCATTCCCCTCACGATTTCTAAACACTCTCCAGGCTTCTTCTACTAATCTTTCCAAATCCCTTACGTCTGGTTCTTTCATTTTCTGAAGTTTTCGTCTAATATCTTCCGCCGATTGACCCAAAAATAGAGATACTAATTGAAGTCTACCCCCCCTCAGAGGAAGGGTCTATAGTGGTAAACTTCTGCATTGCTGCCCTCAGCCTTTCAAGAAATTCGGATGGGGTTTCTTTTAGACCTTGTTGGAAGCATATTCTCAATTGCCAATTCATCCAGATTTTAGTATTTACTTAGCCGTTCATAATTTTAGGGATGATTAGGGTCTCAGTGGGGTCGGTCAGGGGAATGCAGTTGTCCACAGTTCCCTGAGCGGTCCCATCGGTAATCTGAGCTCGCACATGAACTCAGGTTGTTTTAAGAGTTAACTGTTTTTCTGTTTCCATAACAACTCTCTCTCGGACCCATCATGATCCATTTGCCCCAAAGGGCTAACGCCCATGATTTTAAGATCTCTGCCTAGAGCAGAGGCAGAACTATTAACATTCCTACATCCTCTTTCCCTGCTCATTCAACTTCAAACACCTTTAACACTTTCAACAACCCTTTTAACACTTCCTTTATCTTTCTCCAGCCTGTACTTCTCTAATGCCAACATCAAAGGCTCAGTCAGGGGCCAACTTAATTCCGTACCTTTTCCCACCAAGATGCTGAAACAACATCAGTATACAACATTTCATCCTGTTTTCCTTCTCAAAACCAACATTAACTGTAGCAAAACATTAGAGTTTAAAGTTCCATTTAGGGGCCACTTTTCTCCACATTCCAGCTTATAAAGCGGCCACCATTGATTACAATATTTTATCAATGTTTTCCTGTTCACACTTTCACCGGCAGATCCTCCAATATCCTTCCAGTGATTCAAAACACATCCTAACGCACTTTTCTTAGGAATTTCACTGCTTACTCGCCCCCCCATTTTCCAGTTTACACTTTCAGAATACACGTGTTACTTACAAAAGCGTATCACAAAAACGTATCACTCACAAAATTACAGGCACGCAATATCTTTCAGTAGCGATGTCACAAAGCTACTATTACCAGCAATATTGCTAAAATCACAATAACAATAGTCAGAGTCAAATTCCACATGCGATAAGTCAGAAAACCGAACTGTGTAACACCATAACGATATCTTTCTTATAACAATGCCACGAACCTACTATTACCACCAGAAAAATAGCCAAAATCACAGTAACAATAACCAGAGTTAAATACCATACTCCATGAGTCAGAAAACCGAAATAAACAACACAATTCCAGATGGACCTTAAAGCGAGCTCTTTCCTTAAGGTCCCCAAATATACTTATGGTGCTTACCACAAAGTATATACCAAACACTGCCTCGCAGAAGATCACCTTCTGACTTACAGACAGTTCCAGATACAGATGGACCTCAAGGTCCCCAGATATACTTGTGGTACTAACCACAAAGTATATACCAAATACTGTCCTGCAGAAGTCACCTTCCGACTTACTGGACAGTCCCAGATGACCGGTCTACCAGAAAACCAAACCAGAATAAAGAATATACTCACTTACAATGATGGGGTCCTTGTCTGCCTCCGCAGTGATCCGGTGAGTCGAGGAGTCCCTCCGGGAAATCCCGGGGGTACCCTAGGGAGTCCTGTCCCCAGCGGGTCCTGCGGACCGGCAGAGAGGTTGTCCCATCTGGGGTGCCAGATTGATTCAAAGATCGAAGCCGAAATTCCTTTAAGTGGTATATTCTTTATTGCAGCGCTGGATGCACGGGGGATCTCTCCACCTATCGTGCATACCCAAAGCGGAAAGCAGTCTTGAATTTATACAATCAATCTATCAATATTCTACAAGCGCCTATACATACGCATTACCTATCCCCGCCTTCCCTCGCTTCTCATGCTAATTAGCCTTTTGGCACCTTGCGCCTGCGTAGAGCCTCCCAAGAATTGTGGGCAGGGGTCTTTGGGACGTGGGCAGGGGTCTTTGGGAGGAAGACCCCGAGTCTTCCTCACAGTGTACTTTTCACCTTTGGTCAGGAATCTGCTGAATTGGCACGTTTCTTAATTGCGAGAGCTGGTTGTTGCCAATTCTTCCGTTTGTTGTATCTTTATAATGAATTCCAATGTCCAATTTTGAGATTTATAGTCCTTACATTTGTTTCTCTGTCCGTCTGCCGCTTCCTTATCATGAGTTCCAGTGTCTTGTTTCGAGATATACAGTCCATGTCTGGGGATTGTCCTTGCCTCCCCAATACCTCCCCAATACCTCCTTAATCACTGCGACTGCGCGCACTGTTGCTAGGGGGTCGTCTCTGTCCCTCTGGTGGTCGTGAAGATGAAGGCCGTAGTCTTCCTCGGCGTTGTGGTCCAACTTCTTTCTTTATTTGGTCATGTTGGCCCAGCGTGAGACAGGAAGGCAAGATGTTGATACACTAGTTTAACAACTTATCAGGAGATGGCTACATGAACTTTGCAGCGGTGTCTTTTGAACAAAAGAGGCTACTGAGATGCAGAAGGAGAGAAGGGGAGAGGGTTCTCTTTTTTGTTACATTAAGCAAAGGAATTTTCATAGTGTCTAGCTAAGCATTATACAGCTCCTTACTTCAGCAGGGAGTTTTCACAACTCCCGTTCCTCAAACAGAACTCCTTGTTTTTACAGAAGACAATGAACGAACATTTATTGTGTATTACAGTACTGAGATATGCTTACAGTGATAAGAAAGTTTAGCAGGCGACCTAGTGAAACGCAGACAACCAGACTCCTTAGGACAATTAGGTGAAAATCACGGTGTCAAGTCAGATAAGTGAAGAAACATTACCACTTCAAGCAGTAAAAATGTCAAAAGACATTTGAAATTTAACAGGCCGGCAACTGAAGGCCATGCATTGTTTGTGAAGCATCAGATAGATTGTGAACCTGGATTACCCACTCAGTGGGGAAACAGGGGAGGGTCCTGCCATCAAAAGGTATATAAACTGTGTTTTGGAACTAGTAGATGCGCTCTCTCCTGCTTGTGGGGCGCCCGCCATTGCAATCGCGAATAAATTACTACTTCACTGAGATCCTCGCCTGAGCCTAAGTTATTGGCTACGGAGTGTTTCTCACACCAGTAACCCCCACACCGATAACCCACAACCACACCAGTAACAAAAAAAAAAAACACACCAGTAGCCCCCACACTGTTAACCCAAGCACACGCAGTGTTTGAGGCTGGGTTCGTGGCCGCCTTGGTCCAGGAAGCGATCGCCACGCTGAATTCTACCATGTGGCACGGGAAACATAGGCACTGTGACGGATTTTCACCACAGAAAATAAATGAAAGTGGTAACGGGGTACACATTGTGCCCTTAATAACACGCATCGGGCAGTGAAATCACTGATTTCCACACCAACGTGCTCAGGGAATCACTCTCAGCCCCCTCCTGCATTGGACATGGAACAGCTGGGCCAACAAAAAACACTTCCCTCCCTCACCTACACCAAACCTATTAAGGCAACCCTATTAAGATAACGTGATTTTTCTCCTCCAGATCAGTGTCAAAGGCAGCTACGCTATGTTTGCTCATAAGTTCAAATGCTGCTTTATTTATTTATTTTAATTCCATTTTTCTTATTTAGAAGGATTTCCATAGGGTGACGGGCCTTTAATGACACTCATGACTCAGAAATATTTGCCGATACAGTCAAACGGTGTCTATTAACGTGAGTCACTCAAGTTAATTGATTAATTGAAGTTAATTGGACCCTCATTACAAGTCACATGTTAGGGACCAGCCTCTCAAAGGCCAAAAAACAGCACTGATACTTCACATTGTTTCTGCTGGGCCAACACATCTGTAGCACTACCTTTTCAGTTGACAACACAACGAGTGTTTCCACAAAGTACTCGATGCAACCTAACTACTGTGTTTGGTGATGCAAAGCAAGCCATGTCAAAGCAGGCACACACCTGGAAGCTGCCTTGCTGCTCACATTGAAGAAAATAGGTTAAAAAAAAAATCGCACTACAATTGAAGTGGCATCAAACCTTGTAAGGCTCTGAAGCTTCAGCACTGCCATCCAAATTCAAGGAGGCTGCATCTATTACCTTGAATCTGCCCCAGCTCAATCCCCTGAAACAATTCCAAATACACATACAAGCAACCCTTTTCCCAGACAGATTTTCTTTGCTTCATCTATTCCACCTCTAACTCCTGTCTTATTAATCTGCCCCTCTAAAGACTCACTGGCTCACACAAGGAAGCAACCCACCAAGCCCCTGATTCCCCGCCACATTGCTTCCATGCTTTGGGAAGATCTAACTGCAACGGCTCAAACTGTGATGCCACCTCACCCACCTCACCCCCTCCGCCTACGTGAGGTTCCTTGCCTTCTGTCTCTTCCTACATGTACACCGGCACTAGAACCACGAAGAACATGTTTCCTGTAACACTCCAAAAGCCTTTTCTGTTTCAGGATGTCGTCATTTCAATTCAGGACTGAAAACACTCCTAGCAAAAACCCAACAGCTAATAGCAAACAGAAGCTGTTTCTGCTGATCAGCTAGAAGTAACCTCTAAGTACTGAGGAGTCACAAAGGAGAATTTGTATTACATTCAAGAACAGCACCCAGCTTACGACTGCTACTTTCCCTAACTACACTAAGCCATAAGAATTTGATTCTTACCTGCCATCACAGTAATTATGGTTTATATTGCCCCCAAAACACACAGGGCAGTACCAAAGCTGTGTCGGCTAGGTTTAACAGCTTCCACAGCTATTAAGTACAGTAATTTCTGCTTCCTTTTTTTTCTTGGAAGAATATTCTTTTGTTTCCAGCCTCAGTTAATTATTATATACACTGTTAATTAGCAACTATTTCTCAATACTCATAGGGTTATGGAGTCCCTATGACTGGAAAATACTCTACACCCTTCGAGATGAGAACAGCATATAAAGGCAGCAACTTGCAAGACTGCTCTAGCTTCAAGCAAAGCTTTCCTCATTGCTTTCGTCTCCTTTGACTTGAATACTGTCATCCTTCTACCAAAGCTTTATAAACTTCATTACCATGAATGAAGGAAGACCAGAGAAATTAGAGAGTAGCAGAGGATATAACTTAAGGAGCTGTTACTAGGATTTTTTTTTTTTATTGTTCCTGGTGTTATTTTTCCTTCTTTAAGCCAGCAAACTGTTTTCTCCAAGATTTTTTTTGTTAGGTTAAGAATATGTATTATATTGCAGCAACATCTTTGCTGTAAGTCAGCTGAGAAGTCTACCAGTAAGAAGGTCAAGGGAAAGCTGAATGCTGATGCAGAGTGCCAACAGACTTCATCCTCGTTCCATGGGATGTTTGTAGCTACGGCAGTTCAAGTCTACGCTTCCATATGCTTAAAATACCAGATTTAGAAGCCAATTTCAGCTGACCTAGCAGATATCAGCAGTACAGTTAGAGCCAGCAGCCTGCAGGAAGGAGCAGACAGCTGTTTCCACAGCAAGGCCTGAAAGTGTCTCCCATACACACTCCCAGTCTAAGCAAGCACATGAAGGGCTTGGCTTGTCACTTACCTAAGTGACCAGGAAAACAAGTGAAAACGAGATTTCGCTTGTGTCCTAACACCCATATAAAAATAAAGGCAGATGAAATACCCTTACTACCTTGTTAAGTTTCACAAGCCAGAAGAGAACGTGCTGCACACAGGTACAAGTAAATCCCTTGCTGGCAGGTTTGCAGAAACAAATTTTTATTTACACAGGCAAGTCTATCTTTAGACCCCATTTAACTCTTTACATTTCTAGAATATTTACATGATTTCATGATGCTCCAAGAAGAGAGTGATGAACAAAAAGATTACAGAAACTGTCAAAAGCATAGCAAAAAAACCCCAACCTATCATTGTGCTTTAAAACTTATGAGCTAGAATGACAGTGACATCCTCCTCGAGCAGCACTGACACGACACTCACTCTGGACTTTGGAGACAAATTTAAGAAGCCGAAAGGCTCTTGGGACTGTGCAATATGTCTTGTATCAAATAAGGCAGAAAATAACAAATGTGTAGCTTGTCAGTCTGAGAAACCAGGTATGGTCCTTTTTTTTTTTTTCCTGTTGTTTCCATCTTAGCCTCTGTGAATCTTGTACAGAAGAAAAGTACGTTGCATTTATGGAACATTTTAAGCAACGTGATTCCCAGATCCAGTTGATGGATTAGAGGCTGCCTGCAGGATTGGTTTACAGGCACTTCAGAGGTCTCAGCCCAGGTTCCAGCCTGTCGCATAAATTGAAGCGGTTGTGAAACCTATTGGTACGGAGCTGGATCAATGCAAATATGCCCTGCTTTGCAGCTGGTGAGGGAAGATGGCTGGACTGGGTGACTTAATTCAAAAACGACGTACTGATTTTTCACTGGCGCAAATGAGAACTCCATAGAAAGAGATAAAAATTGCTGTGTTTTTTCTCTTTCAGAAATAAGTAAAAATAATTCCAAAATATGGCCAAAATGCCTCTACTCACCATTTGTATGTAATTGAGGCAAAGCCAGATTTCAAGACAGTACTGTAGTCTTAACTGGTCTTAAGCTAAAGCAGAGAGATGCCTATGAAGGTCAGTGATAGGCTTCAAGAAAGTGAGTGACCCGCTGGGTAACTTGTTGAGGGCAGTCCTGGGTTGTTTCCCATTGTGCGCGGCTGTAATTGATTTTGAGCGTGGTTGTATTGTTTTTAAAATACGATTCTGATTTTAACTTTGACTCTAAACGTCACTTAATATGCCATTGCATCAAAAAACACCTTTGCAAATATATCTGGGATGAAACAAATTGAGATGGACTAGATTGGGCTTTTGTAATCATCCTGTACAGTAAGACTGAAATTTCGTGAGGTAAGGTAATGGATTTCAGACAGAGTTGATTCTCTTGGACTTCTTTGTGGGTTTTTGATGGCTTTTGTTTTTTCTGGGGTGGAGGGGGCCGTCTCAGAGTTGTTTTGAACATTTCTGTGGGGTCTAATAAACCAAATTTAAAAGTTAATGTTCATTTTATAGTTGATGTTCAAACAGGATGGTTAACTGTCTTGTTTTTCTTGTAGAGGGTCTAACACCTGTGACCAGTAGCAGTGCATTGACGTTTTCTGCTCCTTCTGGAGAATTTCTGGATTGAGACAAATTTAAGAAGCCTGAAGGAAGCTGGGATTGTGAGACCTGCTCGGTTTGAAACAAAGCAGAGGCCACAAAGTGTGTAGCCTGTGAAAGTGCAAAGCCAGGCGCCAAAGCAGATCTCAAAGGTAACGCTTACTGATTAAAACGAGGATGCATGTTCTGTGTTTTATTTTTTGTTTTGCTCTGATTTTTTTTTGTTTTCTTACTTTTCAAGCACAATTATTTTTTCCTTTGAGGTGTGGTGTACTTGTTCATTTTTCCTATAGGAATATTGCCTCGATAAGATAACAGCTGTTTCCACACTTTTCCCCAAGAATAAATTTATCCTTTCTAGAGAAAAACTTTCATTAATGACATGCTTGTTCTTCACATGCCCTACGTGTTGTTCATTTGGAGTGCAGACTAAAAACATGATCTTTCAAAGAAGTTTGTGTACTTTTTAAAGCCAGGTGGTAGACAGAAAACACAATTGTGAAAAGGTTGATGTAGGGAGGAAGCATGGGGTTTTCTTGTTTTACTATTTGGTGGGTTGTTTTTTAAACAGTTTTGACTGGAAAGATCAGGACTAGAGTGTTGTTAAAACCTTCATGTACTGCAGGTACCCCATGGGTTACAAACCTGATGTTCACTTATTTCTGCAGGTTTTGGTTCTGCTACTGTGTCCACAAATGCTGCCTTACCATCATTTACATTTGGTGTTCAGTCGTCCTCATCCTCTGAGTCTTCTCATACGTTAGATAGCACGGGAAGTTTCAAATTTGGAGAATAAGGGGGCTTCAAGTTTGGCATTGCCTCTGAATCTGCATCCTCCAACAATGTGGTTGGGGGATTTAAGTTTTCTAGTACACCAGGGGACTTCAAATTTGGAGTTTCATCCTATCTTTTGTCTTTGCTTGTCTGCTTATGTCCATCAAAGAAGAACTCTGAAACTATACTAGAAAAAAAATTGGTGAGATTTGATATGTTCGTGTACTAGAGCTTTAGAAAAAGTTTAATTCATGCATTGTGTGTTTTCTGCCCTAGTTACTGATATGTACACAATTAGCAGCAATTCCTTTTTTGATCTCAAAGAGTTTTGACACTAGGTTTAGGCAAAAAATTGTGACACCTTAAGGAACTTAAGGAACTTAATCTTGTACAAGCACAGAAGTTGGACTGTCTCAATGCTAGCAGTACAGCTGGTGGTAAAATCATTAGTATGGTGAAATAGAGGCCTCACCCGAGCGTTTTTCAGAGAAACAAGAGATGAGAGCGAGGATCTTACTCCCATGTACTTGTGCCTGTGCTACAGAGCGTAGTGCTGTTTCTCTACTACTACGAAAGTCCAAAAATCACTTAACAGTCACTACACAGTTCTGCTTTCCTTTACTTTGTTAAAAGGCTGCAGTAGAGGATTGGAGTTCTTATTGATGATCACTGCGTGGAAAAATTCTGATTGCTAACTGTCATTTGTATGACTTACCAGCCATGCTTTAGAGTATGGAATTCAGTATTAATTCCAGAAGTGGTCAGGGAAAGGACGTTGGCTAGTAATCCTGAACAAAAGCAGTGTTGAGGGCTATACTGATTTTAATCGCAGTATTCTTCTAGTTGATCTGTTCCTGAACAGATCTGTTTTGGGGAGATTTGGTGGCAGGGGAGGTGTGTGTGTTTGTTTACTTCCCCTTCTAGTTAAAGTTCTGGGGTTTGGTTTAGTCAGGAAAATTTCATGAGGCACCTTGTGTAAAAGGAAGTGTTAACCAGCATTTTTCACCATGATGTAGTCCCTTAAAAGTGTCGTAGATGAAAAGGGGCCATAAAGGCTGGGGGAAAAAGTTAGTGGGAAACTGAGAGCAGGAACACATTCAGTAATGAGAGAGCAGCAGCTTAGGGAAAGCTGATGAATGACTTTAGCAGATAGTTCTATTTGAAGTGTAAAACAACACTCAGTACTTTGTAACGGTGGTCTTAACAGCAGGTTCTTCTCCATGGCTCCTAAAAGCACGTCTTCAAGGCATTCAGGTGCAGTGAACTTAGCTGTAAGAGTTGGGCTGGTAAGCTTGGCCTGATCTGAAGCTGTAGGCACAGGGCTGTCATTTCTGAACAGGCTACAAAAGAAGCTGTACCACTGTGCTTTTCAGTGCTCCCTTTAGCAAGGCCATAAAACTGGTGCAGGCAATTGATGTTGTTCTTATAAGAGTACCTGAAAGATATTTTTGTTTGAAGAGGTCAGAGGTACTGCTTAATACTGGTTCAGATAATTACAGCCAACTCTTGGTGTTTGTGACCAATACATAAAGCCTCGAGACTGCAGGGGGGCGTCCTTGCTCATCACAAGTCTTCCACTCCTTGATTTGTGGATGGCAGCAATCAGCATGTTAAATCTGGATCTGACGGAATCACCAGTACCTGGAGCGTAACCGAGGTGTCGTTCAGGATTGCTCTTTGTACAGGGATTGAAACGGAGTCTGCTGTAGTTCCTTTGGCGTCTTGCAGTGGCTCATGTCGTGTTCTTCCTCTCAGATCAAGGAGCAGCAAAACCATCCTTCAGCTTTTTGAGCTCTGCTTCCTCCAGCGCAGCCATACCCACCACTTCAGCCAACAGCAGCAGCGTGTTTGGCAGCGTCACCTCTTCCTCCAACCCTGCACCGGTCCCTGCACCTTTTGTGTTTGGACAAGCCAGCAACACTGTGAGCAGCTCCACATTTGGCAACTCTGCAGAATCTACGACATCTCAGTCCTTTGGCTTCTCCCAAGAAAACAAACCAGCAACCACATCTTCCAGCACTGGTGTAGCCGTTGCTCCGTTTGTCTTCGGTTCAGGAGCCAGCAGTAGCAATGCAAACCCTGGATTTACCTTTGGAGCCACAACCACATCAAGTTCAACAGGTACATTTAAAAAGACGTTTTTCTCATTTTTGCCATTAGATAGCAGACCAAAGAAAAACGTTAACGCAATAAGTAATGGAATGGGTATTCCTGCTAGCTTAGCAGTCCTTGGAGACAGATGTAGTATCTTCCTTACAGGTTCAATTTCATTTTGATCTGAGGGCTTAATCTTGTCATTCCTGGAAATTAAATTTACACTAATTTTTGTATACCACATGCAGAGAAAGAGCCATACTAAATTACAGCCATAAGCAGATCAACTGAACCTGCAGATTAAGCCATCTTTCAAAAATCTTCGCAAAAGATTTGCTGTTGTTGTTGTTCCAATGCAGAAGCCTCAGGTCTGTGTTAACTGCTACCATTTATGTTTTTCTTCTTGGAAAGAAAAGCAGCCAGCCATTCCAAGTTACGGTGCAGTAGATGGTGTTTTCTGTTGCACGATGGCTGCTTACATTACATTCCAATTAATAGTGCTGTTGAAAATGTCCCTTTTTGCTCAGCAGATGTGCTGTATGTTCAGAGTCATTGTTCAATCACGTATTGTTGTTTCATTATTTCTGCTGGCCTTGAAGAACCGAAACAGCTAATTGAATGAGCTTGTTATCCGTTATGGGAAGGGACAGAATTACTCTACTAAACTGAGTTTTTGAGTATAGTTAGATTCCTGCAGGCGTGATTTGGCCTCCAGAACTGATAATGGTAAACACTTGGACAGGGAAGGGGTGCAGCTGCTGGCAAGAATGAAAATACAGGTCCTAATAGATCAGGAGCTGTATTTTGAACCTTTATATATATATAAATATATATATATATATATATATATATTTATATATATGCTGATTTATGTATTTTAATGTTCTATGTATATATAAGTGATAGAAGCAGCTCTTAGTAAATATAAATTAACGTGTACCGTTTGTGGGAGTTTGTTTCTAGAACATGAATGCCTAAGACAGTAATTTCAGCCTAGACAGCCAATGTGTTTGAGATGAATGTTGTCCGAGTTGTTAACATGCACCTTTTCTTGTAAGTAACATGAAAAGCAGCCAGCCGGGATAGGACTGAGGTAGTTTGTTGTTTTACATACTTGTCTGTAAACATTAAGATCTATCTCAAATATTTGAAGTATTCGTTTACCAGACTTGGAAAATGTGATGCGTAGCCATTCTGCAACACAAACAAACAAACAAACAAAGAAAAAAGCCCTGCATATACTGAAATTTCTCTTCTGTTCCCTGAGGGTTGTCCTCTTCGTTTGTGTTTGGCTCTGGGTCTTCAGCACCTGCTGCTGGCCCAGCATTTGGTGCCTGTCAGCCAGAAGAGGTGGAAGACAAGAAGATGCACCTAAGGAAAGGTGCAGAGAAGGGTCATACTTATCTGTGCTGTACCCTGCTTTGTCTCTTAACATCTCTGCTCCTTTAGCAGGTAGGAAGTACAACTGCTTGTTTCCAGCTGTGTAACTGGTAACCACAAGCAGATACAACTTCTAATTTGTCTCTAAATGTGTGGGGGGGGACTTGAGGAGTTGTAGAAAACATGAAAGCTTCTATCTTTGTTGCCTCGCTTTTAATTACTTCAGAACATGGAACTATTAAATTACAATATTGCATGTTCTTTTAGAAATAAGGATAAGGTGTAGGTCACTTAAAAGCTCACAATTTCTTAGTGTCTTGGACAACGCGAAAACTTTGTGGACTACTACAGTTTAAGAAAATGAAGAAGACTTCTAATCGTAGTCCCCTTGGCTATGTATCCTTCTTGTCATGGCTAAAACAATTGAGACACATCAGAAATGAAACTCCCAAGTTGTGAATTAATAATATTAAAAGCGTTGGACAGGGTGAGCATCTAAGAAACTGACCTCAAAGTTAAGATTATTCTTGCCCCTCCCTCACATTTTTTTCTAGCTGACGGACTGCAATAAACTGAGCGTTTGCAGCTGCATTCCTTGAGAAAGACAGAAGACAGATTCTTTCAACCATGGCAAACCAGGTAAGATCCTGTGGTGAGAAATTCAGGTTTGTAGTGTCTAAATGGATCCCAGAACCATACTCAGAATTCCTAGTAAATGTAAAGCTGAAATGGCTGGTTCACTCTGAGTTGGGTGTTCTAGTCCTGTGATTTCCTCTGCTAATTTGGTAATTGGTGGTTGTCCTCTGGATGCTTGATCATAACAACCGAAGCAGGTTGGGGGCAAAACGTTAAGCTTTGCAGTTTGGATTATTTGAGCATGAGTTCTTCTGAAGGATCTTGTGAGTAACACTCTCTAGGTAAGTTATGTAGAGGTGTTCTAGAGGAAGAACACTAAAGCCTGCGTAAGTAAAAGCTACTGAAAAACGCCAATCATATTTTTGGAAATCCTTGTTCTTCAGAATACTAAATGAGGGAGGCAACCTGTGTTGTTATGGCTGTTTCTCTCCTCTTTTCTGTAGTTATCACACTTCCTTTTTAACTGTGGCTTTTGGGGTGTTTTTTTGTTTTGTTTTGTTTTGTTTTTGGAGGCACTTTTTTTTTATGCCTCTTAGTTCCTGGCCTTGCATCTGGGTTTTGAGTTTTCCCCTCAGCCAAGTTAGTGCCTGTTCCTGGTCTGCTTTCTCCTTGCGTTCCATTAATGGGCCTCCTGTCGTCGTTCCTGGCCTGAGAGAGTGACTGGCAGCTAGGTAGTGAGGAGAGGCATCTCACATAAGGAAGAAGAATTCCTAGGAAAGGGGAGACAGGGACAGATGAGATTTCTTCTGAGCAGGAGTGATGATTTCCTGCCTGTTCATCACTCACTGTGCTACTGAAGACTTTTTTTTTTGAGAGTCCGAGAGCTCAAATGGAGCACAATCCAGTCCTAAGCTAATTAACGCATAGGATTGACCAGCATCGAAGGGCTAACTGCTTTTTTCCGAATTCCAAGAGGAAGCTGTCAATCCTTTAGCCAGCTTGACAAGTCAGGGGAATATGGCTGTTCATACAATCCTTTGGCTCTGTTATTTTTGCCAGGCGTTTTCCCCAGAGGCTGCTTTCCCTCATGGGAGGCGGAGGGAGAAATGGGACCCCAGGCTTCTTTCAAGGGCAAGGTGAATATGGGGAAATCACCTGTGGTGATGGGGAGTGGGAGGGAGGAATGTAAATGAGGCTAAATACTATAGAGGTGTTTTTTTATCCCAACAGGACTTGCTTGGGAAAAAACGAGAATGCTTCCAGGCCTACAGCTGGTGGAGAACACCACAGAAAAAATGAAAGAAAAGGAACAAAATAAACCCAGGAAGAATAGAGTTTGTTAGTAGTAGTAGTTCAGCCAGGTAAAAACCTTTTGAAATGAGAAACTCTGCCTTACCTGTTTGAATTGATAGCGAATGCCATCACTCACTTTTCAAATTCCAAAATGGCTGGTGTGGTAGCTAAATGTTGCATTGGCAATACGTGTCTATAAATAATGGTTTATTTGCAGTTGCTGTCTCCCATGGTCACTGGGAAGCAGTATTTCTACTGCTACTAGTCATAGCTCCTTTGAATCGTGGCTGTGGTTTAAGTTGATCATTTTTCTTGGTATTTTTATGCTGCTTTCTTGTTCAGACAATAAACTATGCTTCTTCTTGAAACAAACTGTTGCAAGTTGTCAGAAAATGGGTCCTTGTTGCTGAAACAGTAGAATAGACCCAGAGTAATGGAAAACTTTAGATTAGAGTGGTGGCATTGCAATTTTCTACGCAACTCAGTAGAGTTCTGTACTTAGTACTCCTTACAGATTTCTCTTATTTAGTCTGATGATAACTAACTGTGAATATAATGGGAATCGGCTATCTTAGTCTTGAACCTTAAAATTGTTCTTTCTCTCTCTCTTTTTAAAGACCAGATTATTCAATATTTGTTGGGGAGCTTACTCCAGAAGTGGGTGATTTCCAGCTCTGTGACTATTTCCTAAAGAGGTATCCCTCATGTATTGACTGCAAAATAGCAACAGACCTGCTGGGATATTCCAGGTAATTCCAGTGCAAATGTGTAACGTTATCAGTGTGTTCGCTTTTATAAGCGATATGTAAGAGCTTGCGTCGGAGCTGTTCCAGTGCTTTTTTTCTGGGGCACGAAGAGTGAGATTAGTCTTTAGCACTGCTTTTCTTAATAGCACAGATCCTTGAGTGTTTTTAAGAGCTTTCCGGTTAGTTCAAGCAGTTACTGTGATAAGCTTCAACTTACCCATATGCATATCTACATGGGGGGAAAAAGAAAAACCTAGAAGCTGTGGGAGGAGGAAGAGCTGTGCACTGAAATCAGCGCTGCTGTGTGTCTACTTAGTCATCTGCAATACTGAAGACAAAATAATTCCTTCTTTGTTTGGGGAAAAACATAAGCCCTGGCAAATCTTAGGGGGTTGGGGGATGGAACCTAATGTTAGTAGTAAATAAAGTCTAGCAGAAACTACTGGCCATGCAGTGAGTCAAGCAGGAATGAGCGAGTTTGCTGTTCAGACAATGCTGCCTGTAACAGACTAATTCAAGAACCTTCTGAGAAAGCAGATAAAAAAGAATGTTAGTGTTATGCAGTGGTAGGAGTGGGTTAATGCTAACTGATTAACTGCTGTATATGCAGAAATATGGAATCTGATTACTTACGCAGATAGCACTTAAAATGTATTGTTTTGCTGGCTCTTAGCGAGTTGCATCTTAATGCTACCAAGGAACAAGCTTTTTGCTTCTGGCCCAAGTTTTTTAATTTGGTGAAAGCCTTTTCTGTGCATGTGCACATGCCGGAGAGGTTGCTTAAGTAATGGAAGCTCTAGTAGCTGCTATCTTGTTTTTTTGTAGAAGACAGAAATTGAATTCATTAGTTTTGTAACTGTTATGCATACTAGAATTTGTTTTCTCCCTTTTGAAAATTGTAGAGGGTATGCCTACGTCAGATTTGGTGAGCAAGGTGATCAGATGAGGGCACTGCAAGACTGCCAGAATGCACCAGGTCTGGGGGGAAAACGAATCCGGCTGAGCATAGGAATTTCTAAAAGGTAACCAATGAGTTGTGCATTGATACAGTTATTCTAAATAATCAGATTCTTGTAGTTCTGCCTTTGTAAAGTCTGTGGCCCTTGCTGTAATGGCTGTACACAGGATGCAGTCTACAAAACCAAAAATGCAGAAGTGCTATGTTTTGACTCCCTGGATTCATCAACCTGTTTCAGGATGGCTGGGGGAATCCACCTCTTATGTCTAGCCAGACAGTGTCACTTGGGCTTAGTTGCCATTGTAACCAGCCTTGTTTCTCAACAGTAGCAAAGCTGAATGCATTCGTAAATATTTTCAGGTTTGGGCCTATATGAACTAGAAGGGACAACAAGTGGTTTTATACGCTAGGGAGTTCTTGTTCTTAGACCTTTCCCTCTAGTTTGAGAAGAGCACAGAACTAGTTTCCCAGTGGGCTGACAGGAAAGAAGTAAGGGAAAATCTGGGAATGCAGGGAGAAAGCCAAAGGAGTTTATTACTAGAACAGGTGTAGAATACTATTCTTTGCTTTTCATGAGCTTAGGGCAACGGGGAGTTTAAAGTTTAGCACTTCTTGAGAGGGTTTCTTACTCTACTGGCTCAGTTCTATCATTTATTTAGAGCAATTTAGGTCTCTGAATAGTTAAAGAACCGATACCAAATTTGATGAACTCTGATTCAGGATACTGACAAAAGAGGATTTCATATAAACAATTCCAATATGTTCATGAGGTTAGCTTGTGTGTTCTGTTAAACAGTAAAAAAATGACACTTTTGTTTCTGTTTAGCTAGCATAATTCTGCAAATGTTGCCTCCTGCTTTAGAACAGAAATGCTCTTCTCCAAGAGAGCACTGTCCAAAATTTCTTTGCCAAATTTCTTTATTAAATTAATATTTTTATTTTGAAAACAAGAATAAGCCCCAAACATGTTTTCTCGCTTTGGCTATCCAGATGAATGTCAACAGTATTTTCAGATTTTCCTTCCCTACAGAACTGTATGTAGGAAGAGTGCAGCTGGAACCAGAAGATGTAAGATGATGTATCTTCTGTTTGTTTACTACAGTAACAAGACAATAGATTACCTCTTTATTAGAACTTGTGTAGCTTTACAGTATTGAAACAAGCATAGGTATTAAAAGACACATCAGTAACAAGTTTCTGAATGGCTGAGTACCATGCTCTCTTAGCATTGAAATATCCAGCCACTGGATTAGTTTCAGTTGTTTGCTTGTTTTGGAAGCTGTTTCAGAATGCCTTCAGCTTGTATTCTTGACAAAAAGCATAGAACTCACTTCTCTGCATCCCCAATTCAAGTCAGATAAATTGGGCACTGCAAACACAGAAGGCCTGCCTGTACAGAATCAGTGAAGAAAAGTCTAAACAGTGGATTTTTTTTTAATATGCAACTGGGTTATCTGAACGTATTTTATGCAGTGTACATCAGTTTTAGTACAGATAGCACTTGTATTGGTTCTTGTCCGTAGTCTGAAGCTGCCCCGGAGAAAATCTTGAAAGGGAAAGTAGTGAAAACTAATTAGCTGGCCCTTTCTTCTTCAGAACCGCTGTATTTTGTAATTCTCCCACTGGTAAGGCTTCCTACTGGACAATTGTGATTATGTAGTTAAGCAAGACTGACTTCACCTGAGTGGTATACTTGGCAGCTGTTGAATGTTTCATGGACTTTAAACAAACAAACAAACAAAAAACTGAGCAGGTGGAGGTAGGCATGGCAAACTGTCAGGCAGTGTCAGATGCTTCTTTGAAATGGATAATCTGACTCCATTCACTTCTTTCTGGAAATAAGATCTAGTAATTAACCAAACAAAAGACAGAAGGGTTAAGACTGCATCTTTAAAGCAGCTGTGCTGGATAAATGTCTCTGGTCTTAATGAATCAATCTTTAGCAAAGCACAGAGACTTAGCAGCAGCTTTCTTATGCCAACACTAAAAATACTTGCTATATACAGGTAACAATGTCAAGGCTCTGGAGTTAATCCATGAAAACAATTACTTCTGGTATTGGCAAAGGTGAGGATGTTTGCTTCTGTATAGATGGGGTTTTGTGCTGTGACTTGTAGTCACCTAAGTGATGAACTCTGATTCAGGATGCTGACAAAAGAGGACTTCATATAAACAATTCCAATGTGTTCATGAGGTTAGCTCGTGTGTTCTGTTAAACAGTAAAAAAATAACACTTCTGTTTCTGTTTACCTAGCATAATTCTGCAAATGTTGCCTCCTGCTTTAGAACAGAAATGCTCTTCTCCAAGAGAGCACTGTCCAAAATGACAGTAATAGCCAAATGCTGAATATTAATTAAATAATAAAAACTCGAGACAATTGAACAACTGTCTAATTTTCTACAATATTTGTTCAAAATGCATCGCACACAGGACAACTCCTGATTCAAAGGTGGCAATTTTAACAGAAAAGACAAGCTACTAATACAGACACTAAAGGAAACGCATCTTGAACAGCAGCTCAAGTTGCTCGTAAATGTACATTGAACGTAGTTGTTTTGTGGGTTTTTTTGTTTGTTTGTTTTTGCTGTTTTGTTTTTAAATCAGAAGTGAAGTTTTTGAACAATGTGGATTTAGATTCTGCTTCTTTTAAACTGATAAAGTGAATGTCACAGATTTGCAGCTTTTGCAATATCTTTAGAACCGAAACTCTTTACTATTCTTTCTGCACCTGGGCTGAAGGTGGGACAGGAGCGTCGAGTTTTACAAACATTTCCTTTTCAATTCCACAAATTGTATTTACTTAAAATGAAACATTGATCATCTAGCTAGTTCTCTTAGTACCTCAGTTACAGTTACATCCTAACACATAAAGGAGATGCAACCCATCTGGTTTTCAACTTGCAGTTTTACTTCCAGCAACAAAGACAACTTCACTTAGAATAGAAGGGGCAGATGCACCCTAACAAACGCAGCGCTTAATGTAATGCTCTCCTATGTTCATATTTATAGAAAATACTCTCTTAACCATAAGTTTGTTGGTTGTTTGTTTGAAATCAAAAATGCTAGCGTATTTTTTAAAAGGAGATCATTATCTCACCAGGGTTTTTTAGGACATCTAAGACGCTTCCTTCCTTTAATCCTCGTCCATATTTAAAGGGAACTCTGAAGGGAACAGCAACAAAACCTTCCTTCTCCTCTTGCTCATTGTTGGTGGATGCGGATGAGCTAGTTTCTTTTGAAACAAAAGAAAACAAACAGCTGTCACAATGCGACCTACCTAGAGCACATTATACTCACTTGCGTTAGAAACAAGAATTTCCAACTTTCATGCTTCTCACGGAAGAACCTTCACCAATTCTACTTACTTTATAATGGTTTATAATTACAAGCAATAAAAACAGATCTGTCACTGGAAAAATACTGCCGAAGTCCAACACTGCCCGGAATTGCTAGCATGCACAGACAGGACAGGTTTAAGATTTAATAAAGAAGAAAAGAAAAATCAGCACTTCAGATGTGAAGTGCTAAGATTTCAGTTACCTAGGGTAAGAAAGGACGTCACGGGCGTATCACCGGATCCAGAAAGCTCTGATGATTTTACAACGGGAACACTAAATGTAAACCCAATCTGCTATGAACAAGAGAGGTTTTTCAGAGCCACAGGAACGTCAATCAAATGCATACACAAAACCAAATCTGAAAGCTGGTCTTCACATTTGTAGCATGCATGCTGAATGACAAATTATAAGCCAGAAGCCTACATAGTTCTCTCCATCAAGGCAGATTCAGCTTTAGTGTTCTGCAACAGCCTACTAAATGCCTAAGAAAACAAGTCTAGCTTCTTTATTAGTTTACTTACAGGAAATGTAGATAGCACTTCTGCCTCCGTAGACTTCACAATTGGAGATGAAAATGCAAACGCAGGACTGCTAACACTACTTGTTGGCTGTATCCGTATTTTCAAAAGAATTCAAGGCTTACATTTAAGAGCAACAACTACCTGAATTCACTACCCAACACAAGTCCTGCAGTGACGTTGAAAAGCTTGATGTTTCAGTTATTTTGCAGACAGAAGTAGTAATAAAACAAAGTCAAGTTTCCTAGTGGGTATAGGACAAAATCTTCACAACCAAATTCCAGAAACCCAGAGGAAAAGCTGGAGATGCTACTTAGGTCTAAATGCATGGAAAAGCAAACCAGGAAGCTGAAGAACGGTAAACTCAGCCCAGTGACACTCCAAGAACTTCAGCAAACACCTCAACGTATTACATCAGCTACCTACTTCAAACCATACAAAAATATTTCAATTGCTCTGGAACAGATTGATGTTTATTTTATTGCAATAATATGCCAATTATTGCACCCTAGGCTCATTCTATGCGAGGCTTATACGACCACATTACCTCTAATTTAATAACTTCAATAAAGTTGTGGTTTAACCATTGTAGGCAACTAAGCACCACACAGCCACTCGCTCACTCCCTTCAAGTGGAACAGGGAAAAGAACTGGAAACAAAGAAGTGAAGTTGTTAAATTTGAGGTACCATTAATGACTCATCACAGTAATGGCTACCTGGAAAGACGAATGCCATAACCCTGTACGTACCCCCAGCTCCTTCCCCTTCTTTCCCCCACCATTTATTGCTGGGAATGATGCTAAATGGTGTGGAGTATCCCCTTGGTCCTCTGGGGTCGGTTGTCCTGGCTGGGTGCCCTCCCAGCCTCTTGTGCATACCCAACCTCCTCGCTGGCAGGCCGGTGTGAGAAACAGAAAAGGACTCGTCACTGTGCAAGCACTGCTCAGCAACAGCTAAAACACCAGTGCCTTACCAACACTGTTTTGGTCACAAATCTGCAACGCAGCACCATCTACTATGAAGAAAATTAACTCTACCCCCGCCCAAATCAGTATAAATAGCTTGCCATAAAATGCACACCCCATTCCCCCCCCGAATCCCGCAGCATTTGAAGCAGTTACACAATCGCATTAAACAGAAGTTTGCAAGGTCTAAGACTGAGAGAAGCAGAATCAAAACATTTGTGCGTTTTTCCCCAAACTGGCATGTGACCCCAATTTATTCAGCCAAGCACAAACTAACATTCATTAGCTTCACGAGCACCACACAACTCGCAACAAAGCGGCATACTCACCCGAAGAAGTACTGACAGCAAAAAGACTTACCTGGCCCGCCGCCGTGATTGCCACGTCTCCCGCCGCCATTGAATTTGTCATGCTCGTCGTAGTCGTCGCCGCTGAATTTGTCTTGCTCTTTGCCAGTGTTAGATAAGGTATGCCCGTCGCCACTGCTGGGTATGTCACGCCCGCCGACACCGTTGGATATGTCACGCTCCCCCCTGCCACTGAGTATGTCATTTGTTCTACCTCCTCTTCCTCCGCCTCCTCTTCCTCCTCTAGATATGTCATGTTCGCCTCCGCTGCTGATGGATTGCCCGCCCCCGGCGCTGCAGCTGGATTTCCCACCCCCGGCGCTACTGCCGGGTTTCCCTCGCCTGCTGCTGCATTTCCTGCAACCGCATCTGCTTTGCGACTTCCCATATCTCCCGCTGCTTCTCCATGGCCCGTGCCCGTCGCTTCCACTCTTCTTGAAATTCCTGTTTTCGCCGCTCGATTATCCAGGCCAGCTCCTTCTGCAGGGCTTCCCATGCCTTTTGCTTCTGCTGGATTCGCTCTTCCCGTCGCTGCTGCCGGCATTGCCATGCCCAGCGCTGCAGCAGGCGTTGCAATGCCCGTTGCTGCCTCTGGAGTGGCAACGCCCTTTGCTGCTGCTGGAATTGCCATGCCCGTCGCAGCTGCTGGAGTTGCCATGCTCGTTGCAGCTGTTGAAACAGCGCTTGGTGACGCCCAGACAGCACTACTACCAACAAAACTAAAATTGAACTGAGGCAGCGACGCAGTACCGATGGGTAGGGGGATTTTCGGTAGCACTGGTTCCTCCACTTCCTAAAGTTGTAAAAGAAAAATTTAAATTTACCAGACGTACTTTTACAAGACTACTTTCTCACATTGTCCCACCCAATTTATTAACAAAATGAAATCAAACAAAAACCCATGCAAATTCAGAGAAAGCAAGTTTCCAGAAGAAAGCCTGATCTCCCCACCTCTGTCTACTAGGTCATTTTAATTTATGGCAGGCCTGCTTCCACATAATACTCTGTTCAACAACTGTACAGCAAGAACACTGAAAGTTAACTCAAAACCTGTGCAGAACAAAGAGGCACAGATCAGATTTTTCTTTTCCTTTCCTATACTTTGGTCATCAGAGCTCTAGAGAAGCTCCTTTCTAACTACCCTCACACCTCTTCAATTAAGAGTACACTCTCAAGACAAATGAGAAAGCGTTCCTCTTGCAAAATTAGGCAGGAAGGTTGCCAAAGTTTCTAAAGTCACTACAGCAGTGAACGTGGAAAAAGGTCATGTTTCAAGAAGCAGGTAGCTTCAACAACCAACCTAAACGCAAAAAGCACCAAAGAAAGTCAGACTAGCAGCACTGAAGACTCTATTCTGGTAAATACAGCCCATACCACGTATCGGGACACAAATGCAAAAGTCAGAAAACGCTGTTTTCAAAACTTCCATTTTTATCCCTTCCACTTACTTTATTTGATTACTAAGATTGGATGAGTTATGTTTTAAATGACGTAGACAATCTGATCAAAATTTCAACAGTACTATCACGATCTACTTAGAAATGACTAGGCAGGGACGTAAGGAGGTACTACTGATATTCAGTGCATAAGGCAGCCTACGTCTGTTTCACTGTTTTGATTTGAAAAATTTATGGAACTTAGGATATTTGGATCATGTTTGGACCATTTAATGTCCCATTTAATGTTTTTAAACTTAAATACTTAATATTAAATATTAAATGCTTTAATTAATAAATAACATTTACATTAAAACTATTTAATTGTAAATACTTTAAATTAAATACTTAACATTAACTTAGTATTAATTAAATATTTACGTTACTATTAAGTATTTAAATTAACTTACAGGCACCTCACATAACATCCAGTAAAAGAAAAAATAATCCGAATATTCACGGTCACAGTTTTATGGAATAGATTTTTCTGATTAAAATGAGAAAAAACTCTCACAAGGAGTTTGGTGATTCTCAAAAATTGAGTCATCATTAGCAGACATGCAGAATGCTGTCTTCTACTACTCTTTTTCAAACTCTTGGCCTGTATCTTTTAATACGACTTAAATATGAAACAAAAATTAAACCTTTTTTTTCTTTTTATACTTGGCACTCATGTCAAGCATCATTCCTGTATAAAAACTACACAAACCTTCACGAAAACATTACTTCTGTTCTTAGGACTCACTCGTTCAATTGCTAATGAGAAACGTTATAGTTCCAAGAATCTCCAAAGTAGCAGAACTAAAAATTTCAAAATTATGTAAGCAAAGTTCAGGCATTCAAACACAGTAAATCAATTGAGCCTGCTCTGAAACCCCCAGGAAAACATCCTGCAAAACTAAAGAGGTATTATTATAATGTACTATGATGCAATAAAACTGACACACTTAGCTACTGACTTCAGCAATCTCAGTCACAGCAATTAATTTAAGAGTCACTTACCTGTTCTTGTACAGATCTGGATAAATAGTGTAATCCTCTTTCCCTTCTCATTTTGCCGCCTCCACTACTCATTCCTGAGGACAGACCATTGGATGCGGCAGTACCGAAGTTGTAGCTGGTCACATTTCTCGTAGTTTCACATTTCACACCGCTCACATTTCTGTAGCTGGTCACACAACAGTACAGAAGTTGGGAGAAAAAAAAAGAGAAAAAAAAATTAATCAGACCATTTTTTTCCAAGACATTATAGCTGTTATTAGTCCTAGAATTGAAACCTGCTAATCAGAAAAAACGAAAGCTGTCTCACAAGTTGCTAAATGCTGGTAAATACTTGATGTTCTAAATCGGAAAATCTTTATTAACAGCAGCAATGAAAAGGACATACATAAGCGCACCATTCATATGGGAACAATGACTAAGCCAGAAGACCTGAAATAGAAGAGCTGATTTAGATTGTTATTTTCCAACGCTTCCTTTAAACAGGACTGGTTCTCTGATTCTGCGATGAACATGCATCTTTGCAGGGATATAAAAGAACAACTCACGAAAATATAGAAAGAGTGCTCATATGCATACACACACGGGACACGCTGCCAACAGCTATGATAGAACAGAGAGGCCGTAGACTTGTGTGGCAAGGTAATACAGCATAAGCTTCAGAAGCAGCTCTGGCTTTCATGTGGCCATCAGCAGCAACAGCAGAGGTGTTTGGGTGTGCCAACATTCCAGTCTTTTCAGACATGAAGAGAGATCCCTTTTGTAAGGCACACAAAGGCATTTTTCTGTTACTTAGAAAAGCCTAGACCAAAACCAGAAAGATTTCCTCATCTCAGTGGAAACAGGGAAAAAAATATCCCAAACCAGAAGTGAAATAGGGAATAGCACTAATAAAAGCACTATGGCAAGAAAATGAAGTCTGCCTGGAAAAACTGTGACATCAAAGCTTATCTTGCAGCCAATCAGGAAGTACAAAAGTGCATTAGATCACACTGGAAGACACCAGCTCAAACTTCCAGAAGACTGAGGAGGAGAACTGGTCTAAACTTGTCAAATACTTGACAACAGCCTGCTTAGCACTCTGACTGCATAGAGGAAGACAGATCCCTAAGGCATATGCTCAGACTTTTCTCTAATCCAAACTGTCAATCAATTAGAACACTGACAAAAAGTCTTACATCAGAATAGGTCTTTATTCGGACAAGTATCCTTTGCCCATAATAGCCCATATTCCTCTTTCTGTTAACGCCTGTCAGCTTCAAGGGGGCAAAGACAGTTGTCAGCCTTCAAGCAAGTCTGATCTACAATTGGACTCAGGCTTAACAAAAAAAATTATATATATATATATGTATACACACACACACACATATATAGCATTGGTGGGCCAGAGATTTACTGAATATTCCAACTCAGCTGTCCAAAGGGACTCTTGCCAGCAGATCATTGTGGTGCTCCTGCTCCAGAACATGGCACCCAACAGAGACCAGCACCACAAAAAACACTACCACCACTACCTACTCTACAAACAAAAGGTAGGGCACTGCAATGGACTGTGTCAACAAAATCAAAAGCAGTATGAGTTTTCTGGATCTCCTTCCTACATGGAGAAGTAGAAAGGAGTGCTAACAAAGATAATTCAGAACAGTTTGAAAAAAACATAATTAAAACCCAGCAGCTGTTTGCACCTGTACCAGAACCTTAAAGCCAGTCGCTTCCACCCCTAAAAAGGTGGTGGTTGTGAAGTCGAACTTTTAGATGCCAAGACAAAAACGTTGAGTTCTTTCTGCAAGCCAAAGAATGCCCACGGTCACATAAGAATTGCTTGGCAGATGAGCAGAGTCAGCAAAATTCCCTGCTACTGTTCTTGGAAAAGAGCAACCCCCTAAAAAGGTAGGGTGCAAAATGTCCTAACTCAAGCGTTATTACCCCAAACACCATTTGCCCAGAAGGGAAAGCCATCAATATTATCTGGAGGATAACTCATCCTAACCCTAACCAACTAACTCATTAATTAACATCCTAAACCAAGAAAGCAGTATAACACAAAGCAGTCTCCTCAAGAAGAAGTTCAGTTAATTCTTCTGGATTTAGTTTTTTATTTTAGAGATGAGTTAGCATTTGGCCTCAAATGATTCTAAACAACACAGGGTCTTCATGTGAACTCAGAGCAAACAATTAACTTCATCATGAAAGGAGCATTAAAAATAAATAAATACTAATAAATCTTCTTCCAGGTTTTTGCTTAAAAAATAAAGAAAAAAAACCTGTGACTCACTTCGCCTACTTTACCTTCTAAAGAATACTTCAGAAAGAATCATTCCATGAGGACAGAGCTTTCAAACTCCCAGCAATTAACTAGCTAAAACTAATAGCTTTTCCCCTAGGGAACATTAAGAGGGACAAGTTGTTTTGTTATAAATAAACTGACATACAAACTATGAAATAGCTGTCACAGCAAAATTTGTAACACTAAAGATTTAGTTAAACTACAAAACGATCCCTATTTCCTAGAGAAGGAAAAAATTAGGCCTCCAAAAGCACAGAGCCTTTCCGTGGATACAGCATTATAGCCTGCCTTGTTTCCCATCTTCACATCCTACTCAGAAGATAAACTTGGCATAAAAAGTGGTGTATCAGTCATGTATCAGTCATTTTATTATTGTTCATCTTCATTCTTTTCATAAAAGCAACAATTTTCTCAAAGTTACACTGGTCTTCAAACACAATCTGGACTTCGCTGTTCCCTCAAAATACAAAATTTTCCTTGCATTTCCCATTCCTTTTACTGACAACTGTCACCACCTTTCCAAAAAGGCAAGCATGCAGACTGTACTGAAAAGGAGATTTCTTTCTTCCTTCAAGTAAGTTTTAAATGAATAAATGTCATACCTTCCACATTGTTCTGCTTGCTGTTTCACAGGCGAAGTCTTCTCTCTCATCCACTGCAAGTTAAATTTATTTCAAGGTTTAGCTGAATAGATACAGAATACACAAAGTACCCAAAACCACTTATGTGTTGTTTTTGTTTTTTTTTTTTAGTTTATTTATTTTTAATTTTATAGCACTGAATACGCCTCACCTACTTAACCTTGTTCCCTAATTCAGCATTGTGGATGCAGTTCAGTTAAACTTTGGGGCTAAAGTGAGCATCACTGCTTCACTCAGCACTGAGGACAAACTGATAGAACACTAAATCAAATTTGTCAAATTCTCTACCAAAGAAAGTAATTATTTTAAACAACATGACAAAAATTGTGTACATGTGGGGCCGAGTTTATCAACCCCGTAAAAGGGACATACTTTTCTGTTTTCTATCATTTCTTATCAACAAGCAAGCAAAAAAAATAAACAAAACAAAAAAAACCAACTCTACCTCCCCTAAAAACTAAGCAGTTGCTGCTACATGTGGTCTAGAACTTCACCAAATGGAGATTGTGCTGGCTAAACAATACAGAGATGGAAAGATTTAAAAGCAGTAAGTAACCAGTATGACTGCTCACTTTGATTTCCTGCCTAAAAAGCCCATACATTTAACACGTCGTCATTTGTACGCTCAGACTGATACTGGAAACATTGGTGTTTTCGCAGAAGGAGATGCCAATTTAATTTTATGGAAAATTTATCAGACTCCATCTACACCAAAGCAATCAAAAAGGATAACTCAGTGCATTGTCAGCTCTCACTTGGAGCACATAGCTCACCTGAAATAGTTTACACAGAACATGAGCATGTTTCAGCAGTGACAGCTCTGTGTTCATGAGAATACAAAAGGAAAACATTTCTCTCTTTTAATATTCTTTCACTGAGCACAGGGTGACTCAATAGCACATCATGAAAACAACAACAAGACACTGAGCATTCCAAAAACAGAATTAAATCCATAAAAGCTCAATCTATTTCACAATGGTTCCCACTGCCTTAAAGCTCGCCTCAAACATACTATCAGTACTTTTTGCAAAGACAGTAAAATAATTGGTTTGAGAAACATTCCAAGATTGTAAAAAAAAAACAAAACAAAAAAAACAGGCATATAAGGACTCAAAAATGTACTTACTTGGTACTTTGTGTCTACTCCGTTGCAAATTTTGCTGGAATCAGGAGTTGAAGTCTTTGCTGGTTTAGAATACCGGACCCGACGCATTGAATGAAGGTTTAACCTTGGTTTCACAAGTCTCTTTACAGGTGGATGCGGGGACTCATTCTGGGAGTCCAGCTTTGAAAGGGAAACAGCAATCAATTTATCCTGACGTCTACCCAAAATAATTCCAATATTTATTGATGAAAACAAATTACAGAACTATAAAGCTCCCATCGGTCTTGGCACTCTGTGAATACAATTTGAAAATTCTAAAAGCCATTCAACCTATAGAGGGAAATCACCAGAAAACCAGTAACAAAATCCATAAAGCTATATTTAAGTAGCCAAAGTCTGACTGAATTCCATTTCAAAATGTGGCAGTTAGCTTTGTAGACAAAATAATTCATGCTACCATAATTAAAATAACTCGGGTTCCTATATGTTCCTATCTTTTCCTCTGCCCACACTGATTTTTTTTTTAAATAGCTTAATTCATTAATTTAACATTCAAAGCGTTAAGCAACTAATTATACAGGCTTCTGGGCTTCACATTCCCTACATTTTCCCCCTTCAAAGTCACACAAACAATAGAACACATTCAAAATAAAGCTGTCAATCTTACAATAATCTCATTCATTAAACTATGATCCAATGCTTTAGATGTGCATTTAGATGCACATCAAGTAGTGGGTTTGACTTCATTTTTCAACACATTTTCACAGACCAGAGTTACTTTTAACACAGACCACAGCATGTTCTGCAGAACTGACTTAACTGAACTGTCAAACAGAAAACAAATCCTGAAGCCTAAAAGATTTACCAATGGCTCCACCTGCAGTCTTAAGGATCAGAAGATACAGTCTTAGCAAGTATGCTATTGTTCAAATCAATACCAACAGAAAATGGTTTACATTGCAGCTTTAGTTTCGCAGTATCTCCCAACTCTTAGTAACAGAATTCACACCACCTATGAAGTGTACAAAAATATATCTTTCTAAAAATTATTACACTCATTTTGAAACCTTGAATAAAATACGTTTTATGGAAGCTCACAAATCTCCTTCGAGTGAACGATGGTTCACTGCTGGTTTAAAGGTAAAAAAGAAAAATATTAATTCCCCCAGTTAGGCATTTAATACACCAGAGCTATTCTGCCTGGTACAGTTCCTTGAAATAAGAAAAATACCACATCACTGCGACCCGCTGCAGAAGTTTAGCCTGAGTGCACAAGTGTTCTGTCAACCCCACGTTCACTTCAGCAGGAAAACACACAATCATCTCCTTCGCAAATAATTGCTTCTCATCAGGGCTACCCTTCTCCTGCCAAGCATTATGAATTCCATTATTATGAAGAGACAATCTATCTCCTTCTACCCAGTGACAGCTGCGTGCAACATTCATTTAGTGGCTGACAACTTCAGGCTTTCTGTTGCAAATCTGGCAGATCTTTCTTAATGCCTTATCACAGGTGTATTTCTATAGTAGAACTGAGAGTTCACACCAGATTTGTTTTTAGTTATTTGGATAATATTTATGATAGACTTCACTTCTCAATGCCTTTGTCATTTGGCATATGGTGAAAAGATGGCACAGGAAAGCTGACATGTTTGCAAACTCTCAAGTGATTGTAAACTTAATTACACATCCAATCAAGGAATTAGCACAGGAAACTTCTTCAGACATTGTCCCTTTTCTCATTAGAACGAAGATGAAGAGTGTGCACATCCTGTTCTTTCCTTCAGTCACCTCATCTTAAAGCGGTCCTTTCAGGGTTTTGCAATTTAATAAACCCAATGACACCCCTAATTAAAGTCACCAAAAAAAGATGACCGGTTTTCATTTTTTAAACAAAATGAAAGGAAATCATGCTTTACCACAGCACTATCACCAATTCTGTGCTACCTCCAAATAGGAATTCAGGAGCATAAGATTTATAGTGTCAGAAATTAACAATTTTCCCTGGTTTTACCTTGAATGGTGATAAAAAGCAGAAAAATAGTTTGCTGTGCCTAAATGAACACCCAAGTCCGTACAAAGTCTATATGACCAGTCAAGCAGTATTTTTCTGTTTGTGATCATTTCTTCAAGAGAAAAAATTTCCTCAACAGGAATTTTAATATGCAGCTTCACCCCAAACTGGGGGACAAGATAAAACTACTTCGTGTGTTCTAGAGTCGTTGCTCTCAACTTACAAAGATAACAAATCTTAACGTGAGTAATCTTTACAGCCCTTCATCTCTTGTAGATAGATGCCAATATTAACTTGATTAGATGCGTATGTTGTCATTGAGGTTTGAGAAAATTTTTCTAATAGTGATAAAGCATTAGAAAAGTTATCTACCTCATCTTAAGACATTATTGGTTCTTACCTTTCTTCGTTTGGGCTGAAGGTCAGGAACATTCAGTTCATCTATGTCTGGAGGCTAAGGGAAAAAATAAAGCCTAAATGTTAGAGGGCTTTTCTTTTTTCCTGAGAGAGGGTTCCCTGCAACAAAAATATGGGGGCTCATGGTCAACTTACAGAACTCAGCGGCAAAAGAGGTGGCATTTTTTTAGCATCCTGTTGAAAAAATAGTGCAATAAATTAAACTTGACACAACATAAGGAAGAACAGTTTTATCTTTCTCCTTTGATGGCACATTTACTAAGTTTTAGAAACACGTGAAGCAAAAATGGATTAAAAGAAGTGCTATTTACCATCAAAGGGCTTGACAGCTTCTCCATTGCCTCCAAGATGCACCGTGCTGCGGTACTTAAGGTAGCGTGGGACTGCACTTTTTCTTGCCTAACTCTCCTTCTCATTTGTACCTGGAAAATTAGCATTTTAAGTGTTACAATGGTCAATTCCGAGTTAAGGAGGCATGTATTTTATGTTCCAAGGCTACACTGATGATATAACCAATATATTCTGATGACAGAGAAAAATGCAGTCACTGGGAGTTCAAGCCGTAAAGAAGAGTACATGCTGAGTACAACGAAGTTTACCTTGGGCCTCAGTGCATCTTGCTCGTGCTTGTTGCGCGAGTAATAAAAGAAATCCATACTTGTAAAAGGTCAAGACGGATGATGCTAGGACTGCTAAGGCCTCCAAAGCAGTAATCAGGGAAACAGAACTCAAGAAAAGGCTTGTGGTACAGAAAGTGCTTTCACTAACAACACAGACCTCAGAGTTTCACGATGGTGTAGGTGTACCATCTTAAAATCAGTGTATACAATCATAACCAGGAACTAGTTTTACTTCTCTCTTGCTTCCTCCCTTCCCCCAAGATTAAAGTTGGCTGCAAATCTTTGCTTTAAAAGATAAAGATCCGATTTCAACTGTAACACATCTAAATATTACACTGAAAAAGTGAACTGTTTATTTGCACCACCCAGCTTCAAATATCATGCAAAAACTTCCCTTGGTGTGACTTTTTTCTTCCCATGTTAAACCCCTCTGTGTTTATCACACGATATGAAGACAGGAAGCAGACCATGCAGCATAAAAACACAAGTGAGACTCACAGAACGGTTACGGTTGGAAGTGACCTCTGGAGATCACCTGCTCTACCCCTGCTCAAGCGGGGC